TTTCTTGTTTTGTTGAGTCATAAGAGCAACAGGAAAAGTCGATCTCGAATTATGTTAGTTGGCAGAAACGGGAAAGGAAGCAAACATCCCAATCATCTTCGCTAGGTTCAAAGGTTGAATTGAAATGCTCTTAAATGAGACCATTTTTCAGCTCAACCTTTTCAGACCCGGCAGCAGAATAATGTTCACAGAAAGATCCAGCTCTTGAATGCAACAACGTGAATTAATCATTTTGTACATTCAAACGACACAAGCGGTATTTAAAAAAAGAAACAAAGAAGTAAATCACGCCGACCCAGCAGTGGAGGAGTTTTTAGGTTAGTTGTTGCAGCTATAAAGTGAGGGAATGCTGGGTGAAAGGTGTTACCTGTGTCCAGAGACGTGGTGCTGTAGTGTAGGTCCTGGTGATGGAGGTCCAGCCTCTGTGTTTGTTTTCAGAGCGATTGTGTGGTGAAACATTGAGGTTATTGATACCCCAGCATGCCTCTGAGAGAAAAAGGCTCCACCCAATAGTGAACCCTGTGACCTGAGGGTGACGAAAAAAAGAGACCCCCGGCCCCCACCACCCCCCATCTCCCTCACACACATATGCATTGACTTATTTGTTTTTCCTCTACTCCCAAATGAAGGAGTGTCTTACTGGTACTACAGCGTTTTACCTTTGCAGAGTGTCAAATTATATCACAAATAATGATTAATAACTTGTTTGGATGAACAATAATGCTCAAATAGACATTATTCAGCATGGTAAATAAATACAAGACTGGATAAATGGCATTAAGGTAGTAAAATCATTAAAGAACTCCTGCGGCTAAGCTTACAAAGTCATGCTGACAAGACTAATGAGCGTCTATGATATGAAATGGCGCATATTTCAAAAAAAATGTTTTCAAGTGATTATATATGTTAGCAAAACTTTAGACAATCTGACAGACGGGAGGAAAGAAATCTGCAATTCTCTCATGCCTTAGTGCCACTCTCGCCCTGGATCTTTTCACATTTCTGATTAGCAGACACATTTTATCACTCTGCAGACAACTCAATTTTCATTTTGGGAGGGGAGACAGAAAGGGTGACAGCCCAGGGCCTTTAAGACGGCTCGGGGACCCCGGTGAGGCCAGCGCTGAAGCTGATAATTAGACTTCCCTGAACCACAGGTCAAAGAGACAGAATTATTTGGCCTGTGTAGACAGCAATTTCCTCAAGCCACACGAGATGAGATATCACAAGCTGTTATACATGTGCACCAGGAAGCCTCGAGAGTGGGGTCAGAGTCAATCCTATTCCCTACAGAAATGTGTATATTGAAAGGGCAGCTAACTAGGGACCATGATCATTTAATTTGACTTCTTTCAGGGGACCGTGTTCCTCAGCCATCAATTTCAAGGACTAGTTTGCAGCTCTTACATACCCTGATAATAATAGCGAGGGGTTTTTTTGTCTGGAGGAGAGAGCTCTTCATCTGGGTTGGTGGTCATGTCGATTAAATGTATCAAAAGTGACAGAATATAATGAAAAGGTTGCTGTCCCTGGTGTAAGCTCTATCACTATCAAAAAAAAGAGAGCCTGGGGCTTTTCAGAGGTGTGTAGGAGTGTGGGATCAGAAAATCCATTACACCTCTTTGGAAAGTATTAGGATGCACATTCGCGACGAACATTTGAACGCTTGGGTTAAAACTCCCATCAAACATTGTTTTATAAATGGCCCTCCTCTCTAACTGTGAATTTAGAAGACACATTGAACTACTATTTACATATGCCTGTGCCTACACTCTTAAAAATAAAGGTTCCAAAAGGGGGTTTTCCCATTGATGCCATAGAAGAACAATTTTGGGTTCCCTAAAGGACCTTTCAGTGAACATCTTAGGAACCTTTTTTTTCTTAGTGTGAAGAACATTTTAAGGTAACACTTTATTTTGTCAACTACCAGTCATTAGAGTATTAGACTGTCTGCTTAATATCTTCTAACATTTATTTTGATGGTGCGCCCGCCCAACAGACATTCTGACTATTGCTGCATCCCAATTCATTGGCTGCATCCTTCGAAGGGTGCATTCAAAGGCCGATTGCGTCATTGCTGCGTGACGAAGGCTCCTTCAAATTCGGCCTCTAAATGTGTCCTTCGTTTACCGAGAAATGAAGGATGCAATAGATTAATCCTTCGCAGCCTTGCCTACCTCAGGATTCATTGCGCTCCAGTGATTCACCTCCAGCCCAATTACACTTTTAAACACAAGAATTGGGTTTCAACAAACTCATATATCTAATGACACAAATGTAAAAAAAAAAAAAACTTTTTAAAACAATTCAAATGTTGACATACCTTGCTGCGATTAGGCTATATTATACTCTTTATTATATACACAAATGGACCATCGACATATTTAGACAGTTTGTGAACTCTCTGTCACTCATCAACGCAGCTGTCACAGTTGCTAGGCGACAAGAACAAATCCTCTATAGACCGTCCCATTTAACAACGCTCGTTCCAACCTTCGTGGCCTTCGATGTCTGCGTCCTTTAAAGGATGCAGCCTCTGAATTGGAATGCAGCTATTAAGTAACTTTGCAAGTATGTCACCTTATTCTACTACCCAACAGTCTACTACTCTAATGAAATGTAGCTGACATGTTAAAAATTAGTTGACATGTAGTTGCAAAGTTACTAGTAGAATGTCTGAAGGAGACAATCGAGCTAAAGTGCGAGCCATTTTAATATAAAGAACCTTTTCTCACTATAAAATAACTTTGTGTGCAGTAATGTTCCATTATGCTAAAGGTTGTTCATGGAACCATAGATGCCAATAAAAAAAAACAATGTTACATTTCATATGGAGCGTGATACAGTCTCACACCTGTTTCACAAAGATGAACGGTTGAGTTGAAAGGGGAGAAAGTCGTGGCAGAATCTTCAAGATAGCCTTTACTGAAACGCTGTTTTTTTTTTTGTGAGACAGAGGCTGTTGCAGTGACTGGGAAGGAAAACACAGGGACAGCTGTATAATTATACTATTTTTACTGTTGGGAGCTCGGTATGTGAGAGGAGAATTAGCATCACACCTGTGCATAATTGGCTAAATTAGCTTGCATAATGCAAACTCTGAGAAGCATTGGACACTGGGGGAGGAAGCACTGTGTCGAAAATTGAGGGAGTTGTTTGGTCTCCCTCTGGAATTTAGTGAAGGGAGGAAAAGGATTGCCTGTAATCTTATATCTCAAGTCAAAAGAGCATTCAATGACCCCCTTGTAAGTGTTGTCAAACAATAAGCAAGTCAAGACCTTGATCTGGGTCTCCTGGCAGGACTGAAGCACTGCTCAGGCAGGAAAAACAGACATGCAGTCCAGCACTTATTTGTTTTAATCCACTCCAGTGAATCTATGAAGAAGTTGTGACTGCCAGCCAGGGAAACACAGGTTAGTTTACAGGTGCATCCAGTGACTGAATGGGGGGAAATATGTGTGAGCACTTGCTGGAGTAGGAGAAATCTCTAAAAACAGTATTGTACCAGATGTATTAATCAGTTCTTATTACAGAGTCCAATTAGTTAGTAGGCTGACCATACAAAACAAATGCAGTTTTCCATATTATACACAAGACGACATCCTGACATAACACAGCACCAGTTAGTAGTCAGATTTGCTCAAAATCTACCCTGTAAACTGTAATATTTCACAATACTTTAAAGTCCATACAAAATTAGTTCAGAAAAGTCTAAAAAATAATTGTAAAAAATACAACAAAATGTTTTTTTGCAGAAATAAGTAGGTAGTAAATAAAAAGCACAGATATTGACATATATTGTTAATTACACATAAATATTCTAAATATTATAAACATATAGTCTATGAATAAAGGGTACGCTTTTAGAAAATGTGCACAATTAATATTGAACCATTTGACATTTTACTGAAAAGATGATTCTCAAAAAACCATGCCTTGTTCTGGTGTAGATGTATCAAAATATTGGACAAACACCATACGACATGGATCTTCAGGAGATCAGATCCGTGTTAGATTCAGAAAAGGGAGCTAGTTCTCAAGCGGACAGCACTTTGAACTGTTTTGATCTACTACCACCTACTGGTTAGTGATACTGATGAAGTATCAACTTCAAAATCAGGTGGTTTTCCACAGCAACCACTAGGTGAAAAGCAGTGGTTACATACAACATATACTGGAAATTTCAAATGGCATGGCAAAAAATGGTCAATCAGTGCACAAGACAATCAGTGCACACAAATATGCTTTGCACCAAATTAACAAAAAAATGTAAAGCCACTTTATGGAGTTGTCTCTAACTTAACCTTGCAAACTGGCACAAAAGCTGCATCTGAAGCAGCAATTTACATAGGTGCATTTAATTCTGCACAGAGGCAGACTAACTGCATTTACAGGGGGGTTACAATTGTAGAAATAATACTGAAAAACGAATGGAATAAATAGTGAAATTATTAATTAATAAATACAAAATTAATAAAATATTACATTTTAAATAAAAATTAAACAGTAAAAAATGTCATGGCGACTGCAAAGTTTAAGGCAGCGCTAATGTTGAGTCATGTTAACAGAGCATCATGTTGTTATAAATATTACCAAAGTTTGTGGTTACTGTGATCTATGACTATTAAAAAATATTACACAATACAGAACGTTTTAAATAATTGATCTGAAATAGCCAACATAACGACACAATGTAGAACTATCACTTACTGTCAATGTGGGACTTGTACCTCATAAACCATATTTCCACAAAATCAAACTTCTAAAAAAAACACAAAAAACTTCTCCCTTGCTTACTTTTATTTTGTAGTATAAACGGAAGTTACGTAGTGCGTGACTACCGCACCGTTTCCGCACAGAGACCCTCCCACAGGAAATCGCAGTTTTGATTTGAATTCAACCAACCAAACGCAAGCAGAGGCGGATTTTCACGGCCAGAGGGAATTTTGAATTTGTATCATGCTATTTACACTTTTACACACACACAAATTACAGTGTTAAAACCCCGACTACATAGGAGTATGTGTTTTTATCTTAAGGAGTGAAAAAACTAGATGAAAGTCGTGAAAAGTGGGTCTAATGGCGGTTACTGAACTAGCCAAGCCAGTAGCAACAGAACGCTAATTAAAAAGCTCTTTAAATCGCCATTTTAAAATTTCGTAAAGTTTTACTTAATGCTGCCTAATACACAATAATGAAAGCGACGAAAGAGGAGACTACTGAAATAAAACAGATTAAGGACGACAAAGACCTCAGTAAGTTGCTTTTCTTCCAAGTTTAACGTTACGTGGCAACGAATTTCTTCGTCATGATAATAACAATAATATGATAAGTTACATAATATACCAGAACATTTCTTTACAATCTCGTCAACTGATTTTAGTGTCTGTCATTTAGTTTGTAGTCTTTGTAAGAGGTGCGACAACATTCCAGAGAAATATGGGGAGAAGATCACCCTTCAACAGCACAACCTGACTGTCCACTATTTCTGTCTGGTGAGAATGAGAAATCGCTAAATTACATTTAAGGTTAACATTAGTGTTTGGATTTTACAGTTGTCTGAGTGAAGTGTATACTGATACTGACAGCTCTTATTGCATCCATGGCCATCGACGTCTGTTACCTTTTACAGACGTTGATGTGTATTTGTGCAATACATTTCATTTTGGAGTCTTTTTTTCCATTTAGACTTAAATAGTATCTATTTATTTTCCACAAAACTGTCTTTATCTATCTACTAAATTTCACTCCTGCCAGTACCCCAGTTTAATGATAAAAAAAAAAATCTACCCTAGATGATCACACAGATATACTTGGTTATTTCTACATGTCCTGTCAGCCACGAATCTCTTATGGTAATGCAGAATATCACACCCTGCTTATTGTATTTACAGACTGTTTTCAAACAGGAAAGTTGTTAACTTCTAAATCTAGTTAACAGCTTTATTTTTTGTATTTTTATGTAGAGGAATTGTAGAAGGCATCACCAAAATCATAATTCATGCATAAAAGTGAGTCAATTATTCTTCTATATCATTTTACAGCTGATGTCTAGTGGAATATGTCAGAGAGGGGAGGAGGATGAAGATATCCATGGCTTTCTCGTGGATGACATAAAAAAGGAGATCCGCAGATCTTCGAGGCTGGTAAATATACATTTGACTGTTGACGTGTTCCATTTAACACTGCAGAAATGTATCTGATTCTGTATCTGACACTGTTTGACTTGCAGAGGTGCATGCACTGCAAAAAGGTTGGTGCATCAGTGGGCTGTTCCATCAAAAGCTGTCGGCAAATGATCCACATGCCTTGTGGAGTAGAGCAGGAGTTTATTTTCCAGTTTACTGGCTTGTTTCCGTAAGTGTCTCTTGTGATATGCAAAATTTGAGTTAAAAAAAAAGTTCAAAAGTTTGGTTAAAAAAAAAAATATATATAAATTGCTCAGCTCTTTTGGTCAGCACAGCAGCCATAGAGTGGTGCAGGGATGGTGTATTTTTGTTGGCCAACTCGGAAGTTAGCGTCACACTGGTTCCCTTGAAAAACCCAATACTATTTTTCCAATGGCTTTTGAATTATTGCAGAAAATAAGGTCTGTAACTAACAAAAGCTGATGATTCTTACATTTTGTTCATTGTGAAAATCTAAGCAAATTAACATAACTTTGATCATTTTTGAAGCGTAAATACCATAGCTCAAAAGCTAAACATAGTCTATAAACAAACTGCACCACGGTTGCATGACTTCACCGTCACCATCACTAAAGCTCTTTAAGAGCATTTTCCCTTAAAGTACCAGTTATAATAGTTTTTAACTATTATAAACACAACAAGGCTGTGAAAGCGGGCTATTGAGTGTTTGTTTATCTGTTTAATGTCCCTTACAACCTCTGTAGTCCCATGTAGCCATTTGTTAGCAACCACCTTTTTCAAGACAAGTAAAAGCTTGAAAAAAATCACAAGGTGGTATTACTGATGTATTTTATGTCGTAGAATAAAACATGAAAATATCTTTAGCTTGTTCACCACAGACCTTATTTCAGGCATGTAACCAAAAATCCATTGAACTCATTTTTGGCTTTTGGCCTAAGAAAATATGTCAGCCCTGCACCACTCTATCACTCCAGTCTTCAGTGTCACATGATCCTTCAGAAATCATTAAAATATGCTGATTTGGTGATCAAGTAACATTTCTTTTTTGTAGGACCTGTGATCTTTTATAACATACATGTCTTTACTGTCACTTTTCTCGACTAAAACAAAATTAATTTCTTTCAATATTTCACCTTAATGACCCCAAACTTTTGAATGGTAGTGTAATGTCCTTTAAATTTCCAATAATTTAATTCTTCAGGCTTCTCATCTTTGGTATTGATGATGGCAATTATTTGCAGGTCTTTCTGTAAAAAACATGCACCTAGTCAGTCCTGCGTCTCCAGCCCTAGTCTGCCCCTCTCCTGCTCCGTCTGTCTTGAGCCCATTGAATCTGTCCTCTCCTACAATGTCCTCAAGTGTCCTGCGTGCCATGGAAGCTGGTTTCACAGGGATTGTGTACAGGTAATTGGGCCACAAATTCAAACATATTAAAAGATTAAGATCTGGAATTAGAAATTTAAGTCTGGTTCTTAACTATTATGTTCCAGCATTATGCACACAGTGCTGCCATGTTTTTCTTCAAATGCACACTATGCAATAACAAGGACCAGTTTCAGCAGGAAATGCTCAGAATGGGAATATATATACCAGAGCGGTAAATAAAACTTATTTCCTTCTAATATTGATTTGAGTGATTTTAAGTTTTTGAGTGAAAAATATATTCTTGGACTGCCAGCAGTGAAGTATGCATGTGTATATATATATATATATATACACATGTGTGTGTGTGTGTGTGTGTGTTTTTTAAGTTATAAATATTTATTCATTTTCCATTACTATATATTGTATATTTTTCAGGGATGCATCATGGGAACTAGAGGAAAATGCATATGGAGAGTTGCTGCAAGTGTACCAGCACTGTGATGCTGTAAAGTGTCTTAGTCACAAAGGTCGTAAACACAGCTCACAGTCAGGGTAATTTCAGCATTTTATTCAGTCATTCTAAAATAATGAAATAAATTGTCAGGTTGTTTTTGAAAAGGATTCTAACTATCATTAAAATTACAAACGCCTTTACTTCACAGGTTGTTTGAAATTGTTCGTTGTAAGTTGTGTGGATCCAGGGGAACTCATCGAAAGTGCTCCAACCTTAGGCTTTACGACACCGACTGGGTTTGTGCTGACTGTAAAGCTGCTGTTGAGGAAAACAGTAAGCTCTCTAAACTATTGTTTAATATCTGCATATTTTGTAGAATTATTCCAAAGTTACATACTTCACGTTTTGTAAACTGCCTTTTATTATATGTTTGTTTGTTTTTTGCCAGAGTCTGTGCAATTGCCAAACCATGTTGAATCACCACTGGCTATAAGGCAAGAGAGGAAGAGGCTGTTTAAAAACATCTCTGACTTTCACTCTTCGCTCATCACTAAAAGGTACTTACCTAATCAATAGAATCTGGGTTGAGTCGGAAATATTCTGGGTTGGTTATAAGTTCATGTTTCTGAACCATTATACCATAGAGGTTGTGTGCTGTTGATTATCACAGAAATAATTTCAGGCTCATTTCATCCTCAGTTTGTCATTGTACAGTGATTGTAATGTGACCTTGAGCTTTTGGAAGAACTCTATATAAATATAAGTATTATTACTCTTTTTCTTTTAATCTTTTTTTGTTTAATATATATACACTCACCGGCCACTTTATTAGGTACACCTGTCCAACTGCTCGTTAACACTTAATTTCTAAGCAGCCAATCACATGGCGGCAACTCAGTGCATTTAGGCGTGTAGACATGGTCAAGACAATCTCCTGCAGTTCAAACCGAGCATCAGTATGGGGAAGAAAGGTGATTTGAGTGACTTTGAACGTGGCATGATTGTTGGTGCCAGAAGGGCTGGTCTGAGTATTTCAGAAACTGCTAATCTACTGGGATTTTCACGCACAACCATCTCTAGGGTTTACAGAGAATGGTCCGAAAAAGAAAAAACATCCAGTGAGCGGCAGTTCTGTGGGCGGAAATGCCTTGTTGATGCCAGAGGTCAGAGGAGAATGGCCAGACTGGTTCGAGCTGATAGAAGGGCAACAGTGACTGAAATAACCACTCGTTACAACCGAGGTATGCAGCAAAGCATTTGTGAAGCCACAACACGCACAACCTTGAGGCGGATGGGCTACAACAGCAGAAGACTCCACCGGGTACCACTCATCTCCACTACAAATAGGAAAAAGAGGCTACAATTTGCAAGAGCTCACCAAAATTGAACAGTTGAAGACTGGAAAAATGTTGCCTGGTCTGATGAGTCTCGATTTCTGTTGAGACATTCAGATGTTAGAGTCAGAATTTGGCGTAAACAGAATGAGAACATGGAACCATCATGCCTTGTTACCACTGTGCAGGCTGGTGGTGGTGGTGTAATGGTGTGGGGGATGTTTTCCTGGCACACTTTAGGCCCCTTAGTGCCAATTGGGCATCGTTTAAATGCCACGGCCTACCTGAGCATTGTTTCTGACTATGTCCATCCCTTTATGGCCACCATGTACCCATCCTCTGATGGCTACTTCCACCATGTCACAAAGCTCTAATCATTTCAAATTGGTTTCTTGAACATGACAATGAGTTCACTGTACTAAAATGGCCTCCACAGTCACCAGATCTCAACCCATTAGAGCATCTTTGGGATGTGGTGGAACGGGAGATTCGCATCATGGATGTGCAGCCGACAAATCTGCGGCAACTGTGTGATGCCATCATGTCAATATGGACCAAACTCCCTGAGGAATGCTTCCAGCACCTTGTTGAATCTATGCCACGAAGAATTGAGGCAGTTCTGAAGGCAAAAGGGGGTCCAACCCGTTACTAGCATGGGGTACCTAATAAAGTGGCCGGTGAGTGTATATATAATAATAATTTTAGCAATAATAAATTATAATCCACCATCTTCACCACCATCAACATAAGGGTTTCCACTCGTCCTGGAAAACCTGGATAATTGATGACAAACTTTCCAGTCATGGAAAATTAGAGAAAGTGTAAAATGTTCTGGACAATCTTGTTGTTGTCCTGGAAAATAATTTTTTGTTAAGTTATTCGTTTTTTATTTAGGCGAGAACAAAGAGTTTTTCGCTGCCCAAAAACAATTACCGTTAGTTGCAGAAAGTACAATGTTCTGGAATGCTTAGTTTTGACATGCGAGAGTAGTATTTTAAATGATGATGTTTAGTCTTGTGTTGCCACTTGCAGCAGTTAGCTAATGCTAAATAACTGCTCAAATGTATGCAGCGAATGTTAAATGGTAAGCAGCTACCTAATTCAGTATCTTGCTAACTAATAATTTTGATGTGATTATAAGGTCAATAAGATATTAATTGTGCATTGTATCTAGCTTCATTGATTATAACAGGAGTTTTCACAACAGTGCTGGACTCTGTGAGCTAGCGCTGAAGTGATTGACAGCTGTAGTGATTAAAAAAGCAACGCTCTTTGTTTGCTATCTGTTTATAACCCATTCGCAGTTTGAAAAAAGTTTTATTTTTCATGCTGCTGTGTATATACACACTGCAAAGTTTTGGGAATGACTAACTTATTTAAATGTGGGATTGAATCCAAAATTTTATTGATTGACATTGGATGGGACAAAAAATGCTGATGCCAAAATAGATGTGTGCATTAAGTGTAAATGCTCGTCCACACGAAGACACGTTTAGCTGTATCAGAGGCTGTATACGTAAAAACTTTGTATCTTATCAGAGTTTCGATACAAACAGATCCGGAGTTTTGGGATCCAAAAACGTAAAAAGTACATTGGACACAGGACTAAGACTAAATAATAATAAAAATTGCTGACAAAATGCATGACACTAACACTAATAAAAAGGCACTCTGCATCTACTAGACTACAAGGTAGTGGAGGGGTCTACAGTTAAAGGCATGTTGTACTACTTTAATTAGAGTGTGTGCTGCAGACTATTGAGAATATTGAGCTGAAGCTTGACTTTACAAAATTTAATCGCAAATCAAATCGCTATTGCAATATCTGTCAGAAAAATCGCAATTAGATATTTTCCCCAAATCGCACAGCCCTAGCTTCCATAGTCATAATGTATGATTAAGAGCTCATATTAAAAAGTGATTTTTTAGTTGTCATGGCAATAAACTATGCCTTTTAAAGATTTAGAGAGCAATATATTACTTTAGGGCGTGATCCTTGCCTTTTTTTCCCGTCATAGTAAAATTGAAAATGTCCTGAAAAAGAGTGGGAACCCTGTAACACCTAAACCCAACCATTAATTCTGTGGGGTTGCAGCACTCTAGCAGAATCTGTTTCAACACATACATACACACACACACACACACACTGAAGCTGATCCATTGAATCATAATTTTTGCTTTATTTTGAGCACCTTTCCTGAAAATGTGAAAAATTCCTTGTTTTCTAGGCAGCGTGTGCCAGCCACTTCTCCAGAGGTCTTAATGGATCTGGCCTGTCAGATATCACTGCAGCAGTCCACAGAGGTGCTAGTGGGAAATGATGATGGGGTGATGGAAGCAGCTCTGCAGGTTCTGCGGCAAAGTGACTTTAATCCCTGCTGCACACTTTCTGTGAAATTTTCCAAAGACAAACTGAACAACAACATTAGGAATCAGCGTCGCTTTCTCAGATGTCTTGTTTCGAAGCTGCAGATGTCAGAAATCTTTGAGGGACCTGATGGAGTTAAAAACCTGGCTCTGAACTCAAAAGGTAGAACAGATTCTTTAATTCAAGCTCGTTTTAATTTACTTTTCTTGAAAATGTACCATTCCTGACTAATACAGTGCCAGACAACTTAGGTGCCCTTTGTTGTGTGTGTGAACAGCTCTGAGGGATGATCTCTACTTTGAAGTCGGCAGTCTGTTAGCCCTCTCTTTGATTCACGGAGGTCCTCCCATGGGCTTCTTCTCTCCAGCCCTCTACCATAGTCTGTTCAATTACCCCACAAACTACAGGCCTACTTTACAAGACCTCGGAGACACTGCTTTTGCACACAAAATCAGACAGGTGAGTTATATTGTTGTTATATTGTTCTTACATTGTGCTTTAAAACTGCTGTTGCATTGAGACACATGATTACAATGAACCGAACGGTTGTTGTACACCTGCTAAACTCTGAATGCACTTTTAGATTGCAGAAGCAAACTCAAAGAAGGAGCTGAGACATGCAATGCAGTCAGCGTCACAATACTTGGAAGCAGCAGGCTGCTGGCGAAAGATCAGCAAACTCTCTGAGAAGGACATGTTGGTGGAGGATGTACTAAATTTCTACCTGATCATCAGACTACAGCTGCCTTTGCAGAGGTTGGTACCCTAAACTGCCTGTGTTATTACATATATTTTAACATTTATAAAACAATTATACAAATACATATTTGATTTAGTATGAATACATTAAATGTATTGGAAAAAGTGGTAGCAAAAACATTTAAAATGGTACAAAAAATGTCTATTTGTTATAAATGCTGTTCTTTTTGAAGTTTCAATTCATTTTAGGATTCTAAAAAACAAACAAAAAAAACATTTACATCTATGAATTTAGCAGACGCTTTTATCCAAAGTGACTTAAAATAGAGTATAAATAATGTGTCATAGAGCCAGCAATATTTGCAGTTTACAATACCACATTTATTAGAAAGCTAGATTTGGAAACAAGCTAGAGGAGAGCAAAGCTTTTTTTCTTTTTTTGCAAGTGCATTGCTTTAGTATCACTGTTTTCATGGAAATAAGCAGCAAAACTGTATTCATTATTGATAATAAGAAATGTTTCTTGAGCAGCGAATCAACATAATTAGAATGATTTCTGAAGGATCATTTTAAAATCTAGTAAAACAGAAAACTCTTATTTGAAATGGTAAGAATATTTCACAATATTACTGTTTTACTGTATTTTTGATCAAATAAATGCACCCTTGGTGAGCATAAATGACTTCTTTCAAGCGTACAAGCCCCAAGCTTTTAAATGGTAGTGTATACATGTATATGTTTTGCAATACCTATTTTTTTCCACACTGTAAGTAAATGCTCACTTATTTGCTTGTTTATATTGCCAGATTTCGTGAAGGTTTGAGGACCCTAGGACTGTTTGAGCAGGTTCAGATGTGTGCAGAGTCTTTCTATTCAGTCTTCTGTGGGCCTGTGGAGAGGCTGACTGCTGAATCTGTCATGAAGCTCTTTACTGCCCGCTTTTCAGAGGAAAAAGAGCAACAAGCTAAAGAAAACACAACAATAAACTATTGGAAACAGTTTCTGCAAGAGTGTGACGGTATGTTCGCTAGAAAAATGTTATTGTATTGTATGTTGATAGAATTTAGATTCTTAGGTATATCATAATAGGTATATCATAAAATCTATGATAATAGAATATGACAAGTCCTCATGAAATCAAAATTGACCCCATTTACTTAAGCACACATTACTGGTCTTAAGGTGAACAATTAATCCTTGCAAGATAATACCGTACACTAGGGTTGGGCGATGTCTACCAATTTGGCATCAGACGATGTTTACAGTGAAACATCGCGATGGAAGATGACATCGGGAGGGGGGGGGGGAGGGGGGGGGGGGGTATTTTCGTAATATTCTCATTTTCCTCTATATCTCATGAGCAATTTCGATTTCAGCACGCTCTGCAGCCGCTGAGCACTAAGAGCGAATGTACAGTGACGTGACATAACTGCCAGATTCAAACTGTGTGCTTTCGCTCTATGGCTGGCGCTGAGCCAAAGACGGCCGATGCCGTCTAAACATCGTGATGTCTGTCAGCCATCACGATGGATGATGATATCGGCCCAACCCTACCGTACACAAAACATTGTTTTTGTCATAGTAATCTTTAATCAAAATCTGAAAAGTTTCTTCCGGTCTGGAATAGCATTCTGTCAGTTTGGAACGCTTAACCAATCCCCTCCAACCATTAGTCTGTGGCTATGAGCGAGAGATGGTGCAATAAAATAAAACCCTGCCCTCTATTCAATATTCCGTTTCACTTGGAAATACCCCATAGCACTAAAGTAAAATCTGTTGCTTCTTCTGGTTCACGGGGACTTTAAGATGTGTTAGAAAACAAGCTGTTATTTGCATGATCTTAACCCTTTTCTCGTTTTCCAGAGGGTCGGTGTGCAGCATCACTTGAGGACATCCTAACATTCGCCACTGCTGCAGATTTGGTTCCGTCCATTGGATTCAAACCCACCCCGTCTATTTCGTTCTTGAGCTCACCAGACCCCTCATGTGCCTTTCCTCAGAGCTACTGTGATGCCAATCATCTCATTCTGCCCATACTACCGTCTTATGAGCTCTTCAAGAAACATTTGGATTACACAGTGTGTCAATTCTCAGTTATGCAGGACATTTAAAAAAAGAAAAGAAAAAAAACATCATCTCCTAACTGGATATTTCAGTAGATTCATGGTGTGCATTTACCTAATGATCTACAATGATGCTTAAAGTCTATTTATTGGGGTTAACAAGTATTATATATATTATGGTATTTTTCAACCTAACTCACAATAGCATTAATTGATCATAGTTGCTCCTCATTTTATTTATCAGTAGTCTGATAAACCCAGGTGTTGCTAACTCTTCACAGTTATGTAGCAGTACGTTAGAAAAACAACCGAGAAGACAATTTGACAGCTTTGCTTTGAGCCATTCAACACTATTGGGGCTTCAACTACAAATCAATACATGTTCTACTACACAATCTTAGAAGTGATAAGATTGTCTGCCCTTTATATTTAAAAAAAAATATATTGTGTAGGCTTATAAGTGCATGCATTTGAATGTGTAGCTAATAAATGATGTAGGAGCTGATTTTATCAGCCACACACTTTTTTTTTAGCTGGTAGCATTTCCAAAGATTAATCTCTTAAGTAGATAATGTTTTGTGTTCTTCTGAACAGCGTTGTTATATAGCAGTGGTTTTGTTTTTTCATGCAAAAACAGTTCACAATAACAAGGTTGCAATTTCCTGGTAGCCACAAGATGGTGCAATTGCAAGGTCGTTTTGCCACACAATAGCTGACCACATATGAATTGGTTGTTAATAAGTTAAATGAGGTCTTACTGTTTGTGCCAGAGAGCCAAGTTAGAATCACACAAAAGCAGGTATGCATTTGTTCTTGTAGTTTTTTATTTTATTTCTCCTGATGTAGTTTGAGAGTGCATGATAACTTGCCAGCTCTATGTCTATCATAACTTATTAAACTTTTTACTTTTGTTACCCTCAGTGTTTCCCCCATTGTCTTTATTAAATGATTGTGGACCTTTAATTAATGGCATATTATTTTAATGAATAGTGTTTGTTTTTTTCAACCAGTCTTGAGACATCACACTTTAAAAAAAACATGCATTTCCCAATAACTCATGCCATTGATCATCTGTCAGCTTGCGCGTTTTTGCATACTGACAGCGGTTCGCCGGTCGCCACGTCACCCTCAGAGTCGTCGCTGCATAAACAGTAAAGATGGCGGCCTCCATCCGGGAAAAACAGACAGGTCTGTTCATAAGTTTGAATTTATATTGAAACACTCAGTGCTGTTGATATTAATGATTTTCACGCGTTTTTTAAAAATAGTATTTATTTAAAATACATACAATAGTACCGAATACATAACAGCTGGAATTGTACAGTCCTGTCAGTGTAGCTGTTGATGCTAACGGTGTTGTTCATTTAGCAGCTGGTTAACATCAGATGGAAGTACTATTATCTAGCATAAATAGTTAATACGTAGGGCCAACCAGCTCGTTTATGAAATCTACAGCTATTAATATCCCTTTTACCTTTCAGAAGGAACCCATCATTTGATTTGACAAGCTAGCTAAACTCACTCAGCGAAAACTATTAAGTTATAGCTTAATATTTTGTGGTAGAGTATAATTATGGTTAAACTTGAAATGTTACATGGGTACAGTTTTTATGCTGAGGTTATTATTTTTATGGTTGTCATTGTCATTTATGGAAATCGACAGTCGCTGTGCAGCTGCTACTATGTAAAATGGTATTCGTCTTAATAAATATGCAGTAGCCTAGGTTTGTTTAAAAAAGGCAGCGTGTGTCATTGAATCATTGCAAGTGTTCGCTACAAAAATTGTATTGTGTGTTGGTAGAATTTAGATTCGTATGCATATCATAAAAAGTATGATAATAGAATATGACTATGTAAAATGTCATAATTTGTCATAATTTATATGCAGTAGATAATTTGTTGTTTAAAAATACATAGGCTAATTCTGAAAATGATGTGTTTCTGGTATAATACTGCCAAAGTATGTAGGTATCAGCAATTTATCTTTTATTAAAATTATTTTAGTCTTTTAAATCACAAACAAGTACATTTGTCTGTTTGTGATATTTTAAATAGTGATAGAAGTGATTTAAAATATAAATTTTTTATGTTTTTATTTTCAGCTGCTCTGAAGCGAATGCTTAACTTCAATGCGCCACCCCTGAAAAACACAGCAGCTGAGCCGGTATGGAAGGTAAGTCTACACATTACAAAAAAACACCTTGGGTTTTCCTCATCCACTATGCAGTGCTTTTTAAACATGACTCAGTGATGTTTTTATAGTTATAATTTGCATGCACACTCACCCTTTGCAATTCTTGTTAGGTACTTATTTACGATCGCTTTGGCCAAGACATCATATCTCCTCTGCTGTCTGTGAAAGAGTTACGAGACATGGGCATCACTCTGCACCTGTGAGGACCTCTAAGACTTTTTCTTTTTAAATCAGTGATTTGATTAAATTGATTGTTTACATTTTGTTTGTTTCCTGTAGCTTGTTGCACTCAGATCGCGACCCCATTCCAGATGTTCCTGCCGTTTTCTTTGTAATGCCCACAGAGGAGAACGTTGACAGGATATGTCAAGTAAATATGTTAACTAAACAACTGAATTAGTGTTTTTGTCAGTCCCATTCCAAGACAATTTGTGAAGATCACACTATTACAAAACTAATGGTTATTTTCACCATCACAGGACTTACGAAACCAATTATATGAGTCCTACTATTTGAACTTCATCTCCGCAATCTCCAGAAGCAAGTTGGAGGACATAGCAAGTGCTGCTCTAACAGCTAATGCTGTAAACCAGGTGACCAAAGTAAGTCAAGCAAATTTATTCGTTGTGAATGTTAGTTGTAAATTCGATTCAGTTTGCTTGAGCTTTTAATTCTTGCTAGAGCTCTATGAATTCCTGAAGAAAGGCAAATAACATACTGCTAATTTTTATTATGCAGTTCAAATATTAGACTGCTCTGTCCCTCCTCAGGTATTTGATCAATATTTGAACTTCATCACACTTGAAGATGATATGTTCATTCTCTGCAATCAAAACAAAGAACAAATCTCCTATCATGGTAAGCTGCTAGACTGTTTTCAAATATTGACTTTGTTTATTGATTTCATTTGTAATCTAAACAAAGTTATGTTATAATAATGCTACTGTTCTGTCCCCTCAGCAATTAATAAGCCAGATATCATGGACACAGACATGGAGGGCATAATGGACACAATAGTGGATAGTCTCTTCTGCTTCTTTGTCACTCTTGGTAAATAATGACAAATATTTTTATCCTTTCATATATAATCCACATATAATGCCATGCCATGTTTTGGGGTCAGTAATTAAAAATTTAAAATGTTTTTGAAAGAAGTCTCTTCTGCTCACAAATGCTACATTTATTTGATCAAAACATAACAGTAAAATTGTTCAATATTATTACAATTTAAAATAACTGTTTTCTATTTTAATATATTTTAAAGTGTAACTTAATAATACTGTGATGACAAAGCTGAATTTATTTAGCAGCCAGTATTTTATTAAGACCTGATATTTAATCATATTAAAGAGCCGTTTTTATACTATTTCTCACATTACAGCCATTAGTTTAACTCTCAACTGTCATAAAGAGCCACTGGGTGGCAGAACCTTCCTAATGTTGTTCTGTATATTGCTCAAAGGACAAAAACATTTAGAAATACATTGAATATTTCATTTAGGTCTATTTACATACCACATGACTACTAGAATTGTATATGGCAGAAACTTCACCATTCAGATTAAGTACATTGATCAAGCCTGTATTGTTGTTTTTGAAATGTGATTATGTGTGCCTTGGGAGCCTGTGAGCAGATATTAATGCACCCTCCTATTGGCAGTACAGTGAGCTTTCCTGTTATCATAGGTGCTGTCCCAATAATCCGATGTCCAAGAGGGAATGCTGCCGAAATGGTAGCCGTGGTAAGAGACCCACTGCTCTGTTTTTTAATGTTCCTCAATTTCTTTTTAAACAGACCGAGACACCTTTGTTTACTCCTGCTCAGTAAAGAGGGGTTTACGAATTCAGAAATAGAGTATAATAGAATGGCTGTGGTCAAATGACCACCTCAACCCCTACATAATCTCTTTGTTGCAGTGCATTTGTACATTTTATACTCTAGTTTATGTGCACAGCGTGCAAACTGATACAGTCGCTTAATTCAGTTTCACTGATGGTACAGAATTCTTCTTTGTTCCATATGTGGGACTCAGTCCAACCTTGGCTCGCTTTCACTAGAGTGCTGAACTTTTAGATGATTCGTTTCAGCGAAAGAATGTCTCACTGTAATATGAGACAAAATTAACACCTGTCGCTCAGGTTATTGGATTAATTTATTTTATACATATTGTACAACTCGTTTCTACTGGAAATATTAGTAATGTTGATTTAACACTGTTTTATCACAGAAACTTGACAAGAAACTGAGAGAGAATCTGCGAGATGCTCGTAACAGCCTGTTCACCGGAGACACCATGGGCACTGGCCAGTTCAGGTGGAGCAAAAACACACTCGCACACCCCCATGCAACTGATGTGAAGAGAATATGTATATTAGTTTTAGCCATAAATCTCTGTAAAGTATTTAATCTATTGTTATAAAAGCATAATCCAAGACACAAATCTTGATTGATAGATAGATAGATAGACAGACAGACAGATGGAAAAATAGACTGACAGACTCTACTATACTAGGACATTTTAAGAAAGATGTAGAATCTAGAGACATGTTTAAGTTTTGGGCCATAAAAAATCTTCCATCTTTCCCTCCACCTCTCCCACAGCTTCCAGAGGCCGCTGTTTGTTCTTGCCGATCGTAACTTGGATCTAGCAACTCCTCTCCACCACACATGGACGTATCAGGCTCTCATTCATGATGTGCTGGTGAGCAGAACCTAAAATATCCTTACATGACCCACAATTAATACTCCTTTTTTTCTACTAGTGTTAATGTATTTTTTTTTCCCTAAATGGAAACTTCAAATAGTTCCAAGTTGTGGCATATGGAAAGATGAAGTTATCATATGTATGATAAAGGGGTTTCATGAAATGTGGAATGTACGTGCTGGGTTGCTTTTTGTGCCAGTGATCATTAATCATTTAGGTATTTTGTTCCACCGTCTCAAAAATGCTTTTCTCAACTCCCTGTATGGCAGCAGTGCTCTGCCATGCTAAAGGGAATTTTATTCTATGTACAGTGCTGCTCCAAAGTTTACACTCCCCTTGCAGAATCTAAATAATTTGAACAAAATAAGAGGGATCATACAAAATGCATGTTACTTTTTTAT